ATATTTTAAACTTCATAATAATTTTTAAAAATGTACTTACCTTCGACTACATAACACACATAACTAAGGATAGTGACTGTGATCAGAGCTGGCTCTCATGCAGAGCATGCAGCTGTCTCTGTGGAACGGACTTTCCCAAAATAATCTCCACATGGGCCTAGCCCTGACGCCTGAGATTCCTTCACAGTTGGTGCCAGCCAGAAAAGCAAATAAAACTAAAGTGTACACTATCATAATTATGGGTATTTGTACTACACACTTCTTTACAAGGTCTCTGAATTCTTTATAACACACAGCTTGGACACGCTGGAAGACTATGAGATATGAGAGCATGAGCATAGTTAGGATATACTGAAAGGGAACTTGGGGCAAAGCAGAGGAAGGAAACAGGCAAGGATACAACAGTCTTGCTTGGGAATGGGAAGAGAAGAGCTTTATAGTTGGGTGACAGAGGAAAGCACTGTAGGAAACAGGCAGGGATGCCTAGAGATGTCTAAGAAAATGGAACTTTCAGAACACTAAGCTCTTCTTTGTCTTAATTTTCTTCTTTTTTCAGCTGACAATGAGAACAGCTGAGTTCATATCAGGAAACCAGTACACGACAAGCTTCTGGAGAATCAACCGCACAGCATCTTTCCTTCCAGTTCTTTTATGCTATTAGCAACAACCCTTAGGTAGGCCTTCCACACCCAGCACCGTGCTGATTCAGTTCAGCCTCCCCCCAGCCCCAACCTCTTTTTCTTTTGGGGCAACAGCACTGGAGATTGAGCCAGGGCCCTTCAGACTAAGCTACACCCATAGTCCTTCTTCACTTTAGATACAAGGTCTTGCTAAATTGCCACACTGCCCGCACTGAGCAAGAACTTGGAACTCCCGCCTCAGTCTTGCACACTGCTGGGAATACAGGCATAAACCATCACACCTGGCTGTCCTTCACTTTCAATTAATACATACAGGGCTGGAGAGATAGCTCAGTGGTCTAAATGCCTGCCTGGCAAATGCGGACCCGCGGCGGATCCCTGGTACCGCATGCCATGCCAGCTCTGCAACTACAACTGGGCATGGTGGCACACACCTGTAATACCAGAGCTGGGGAGACTGAGACAGGAGGATCAATATACGTCCAAGTTGCATAGTGAGATCCTGTGTATAATATATATATGTGTGTATATATATATATGAGAAAAGTTTAAAAAATACTATGAATTATAGAAATATTAAAAGCTCTAATTTCCCTCATGGGGATTGGCCACTGCACTTGATTAAGGCAATAAACTTGAACACCTAGCTGAACTGAATCAGCATGGTGCTTGGTGTGCAAGGCCCACCTAAGGGTCGCTGCCAACAGCATAAAACAAGTGGAAGGAAAGATGCTGTGCGGTTGATTCTCCAGGAGCAGCTTGTGTGTGCTGGTTTCCTGATATGAACTCAGCCATTCTCACTGTCTGAGGTGCTCAGATCCTTGCTGTCGCTGAGAAGCACGGCAGTTCTTTTCAGGGGAGCTCTGGTTCCTACCTTGAGCACCACTTCCTGGCTGCAGATCTGTCAGCCTGCTGGCACAGGTCCTTTGTCATCTGGTGCTGACTTTCTAGCTTCTACCACTGACCTTTGAGCCTTCCCAGTGCGGACCCTTAATACAGATTTACCTGAGACATTGTCGTGGGCTCTAGTCTTCAGCTGGACTCACGCAGGACACTGCCATGGGATCCAGTCCCTAAGCTGGATTCTTTGGGTCTCTAGAGTATGAACAGATCTCCCACACTCTTCTGCCTTTGACTTTTTGGGTGAATATTATAAAATAATCCTACAAATTATGTGTCCTATATTAAAATGTTCTTGCAAACCCTGAACTACAGCCACTGTTTTACATGCAACAAAATTTATGTATTATTATAGTTCTAGGTTATAAATTTTTATTTATTTATTTATTTATTTATTTATTTATTTGTGTGTGTGTGTGTATGGCCAGCTCAGCCCACCAGGGGGCGGGGCTGGCTGGCATGTGGTGCTGGGGGGTTGAACCGCGGTCCCTGTACTTTGCCAAGCTTGTTCTAAGTAGGTGCTTTAGACCACTGAGCCATCTCACCAGCCCTCAGGTTATACATTTTATGGAAAATTATACCATGATCATTCTCCAAAGCCACTTAGTGGTTCTTCATAGTTTTAAAACAACATGATGAAAACTGGGGCGGTCTCTCATTTCTCTGTTTTGGGGGTTAAGGGGGTTTGAGATAGTCTTACTATGAAGTTCAGGCTGGCCTTGTACTCACTATATAGCCCAAAATGGCCTCTAACTCACAGCAACCCTCCTGCTTCAGCTTATCCAGTGCTGGGATTACAAGTGTGGGCCACTACACTGCATTTCACTTTTCATTATTATAGCAGACAGTTCTGATTTTTAAACCTGCTACAACAAGAAAATCTCCCAAAACTCCCCTCTTCTGTTAAAAGCATATACCAAGACTTCAATGCAAGCAATACTGTTGTTTTGAATTTAAGACCTGGAAAGATTTTCAGTATATCTGCAATATTTAACTGGAAAAGTAAACAAACATCTGCTAAAATCAAAAGGGGTCACAGTGTTAGATCTGTTTTAACCAGTACCGTACTGCAAAAGGTAGAAACTTGTCGTAGAGTTCATATTGGGTGAGTAGTTTGTTTCTGAACACTATACCTCCAGGTAGATTTTAGGACTTGTGGCCCCTCTCAGCCTAGAAGTCAAATCTGCCTTTGACTTAATTCTACTTAGGTGGTCTTTGCAATTTGTTGCTCAGTCTGGCCTAGAACTTGTGGCGATCCTCAGCCTCTAAAGTGCTGGGATTACATGCCACCATGCCCAGTTGAAGAGACTGTTAAGGAAGCAAACTAGACAGGAATGAACAGGTGCAGGGGAAAAAAGAGTGGATGAAGAGTAGATACTGTATTAGTAACCAAACCTCTTTTGGTGTCCTAGGAATTCTGGATTACCTAACAGCACAAGTCTAAGGCTTATTAAATTCTTAGAAGTCAAATTAAAGTTTCACTGAGCTGCTGTGATCTACACCTTTTATATACTGATATTTATTAGGTTTTCAAAAACCACCTATTTGTTTATTTTCTGGGTCTTGGTATGTTCCACCATGCCCGGTTTAGAGGTATTTATTCTTACAGAGGACAACGTTGTAAATATAAACATCAAGAAACTAACTAAAGGACATGTAACTAGTAAAACAGTGAAACTAAAATTCAAAGATAAGCCGTTTCTGCAAAAATGACATGCCTTTTCTACAATACCAACCTGACTTAAATTTCAGGATTTAGTCTAATATGCTTAACCATATTATCACTGTCAAAGCAATCTATTTCCAGGCAGTACAGGAAAAAAGTACACTGCATGAAGAGAACTCACTACAAGAGTGAAACACATAGAGATCTGCAAAATTAGAAACATTTAAAAATTATAAATTCTTAAAAAAAAACCTATCAGTGTCTAAAGAGTGTCTTTTTTGTATAGAAAACAGAGGCTAATAGTATTTTGCTTTCAAACAGATTTGGGATCAATTAATTATTGGAGTAATGCACATGGGCTTTTTTTCTTCCATATGAAAAAATAGGAAAACAGTATGTTTTCAATTTCGAAGTTATTTTGCTAAAAAGTAGAAGCTAAGTGAATTAAACTCCAGGGATGTTTTACTTTAAGCAGTGCTGTGTCCTTAGAAGGTGTAAAAACACTACCTAAGACATTCACAATATGTAGTTTCCATGAGGTTAAAAAAACAACTAGAAGAGACACATTACAGATAATGTTGCACTTTGGTTGTTGTTTGCGGAAGGCTGTCTCTACAATCCAATGTCCATAAACATTCAAGTGACTGGACAAACTGGCTCCATAAAACTAAGAACACCTTTGACCTAGCCATAATCCAATTTCCTCCCCTGTACAAATCCACGCCAAACTACGAATGGAACACCTGTAAAGGTTGGACAGACTTGCCCTGAGCAGGAACATCTTGCACATCAGCATATTTCTAGGAACTGAGGCACGACAGACTAACATCAACCAGAAGGTCTACAAGGTGCAGTGTCAGTCATACATATGTCCAGGGTAAGTTTTCGTTCCCAATGTGTCAACAGGAATACTTTTTAAGAAGACTGCCAATCATATGTCAAATCAATCAATAAATAAATCGAGCCTATGGGAAAGTTAAGGGGAATAAATTTGTGTCAATAATTCATTAGAGGCTTTGGAAGTGAAATAAATCTCCAAGATAAGCACTTAGATTTGTCCCCAGCTTTCAGCCAGCAGAGATCTAATCCCCAGGAGCACATCCTCTGCTCTTAGGGAACACTTATGTGTGCACAGCTGTATTTAAAGGCCGACAGTGGCCCTAGAGATACGTTCACTGGCATTTTTTAAACAAAATTTTTTTACTGGAGTAAAAATAACTATCTGATTTTCTTCGTCCCAGTATGGCAGGCCTGGGGTTTCCCCGCCGCCAACTCCGGGACAGCGGCCAGGACTCCGGGAAGAGGGAGAGGCTTCCCCGCCGGCTCCATGGAAACCAGGGACGCGGGCCGCCGGCGCCCTCCGGGCGGGCCGGGGATGCGGCGCCGCGGGGCGGAAGCGAGGAAGCGGCTCTGCGCCAGCTCGGCGACCACGGCCCAGCTCCGAGCGTGGCGATCCGGGACAGTGCGAAGGGAGGCGGCCTGAGAAACGCGACAACCAGGTGGCCCCGCCGCCCGCCCCCGTCCCTTCCTAGTCAGGGACGGCAGAAACTTCGGTGGCACAAGATCCCCGTACGGTCTTCCGAGCCGAGGTCTTTACCTTCCCGGCCGAAGGCTCTCCGCTGTTTTTCTGGGCTGGCGGCAGCAGCTGCGACAGCAGCGAGCTGCCGCGGAAACCCTCGCCGATTCACTAATCCGGGCTCTGGGAAATAATTTCCCGCCGCGCGCTCGGCCGCCCCGGAAGTAGTCGTTCCACTTCCGGGTGGTTGTCAGTGACGCTCTGGAGCCGTCGCCAGGGAGTCCCGAGAAGGTGCAAGGCTAGCCTCTGGGCCTGCGGGCCGGGCTCCAGGTGACCTGCGTCCGAGGAGGGAGGCAGGTAAGTGCGTCTTCTGGGGTCTCTCGTGGGCCTGTCTCGGTTCCGTCGTGGGCCTGGGGTTTCCGGCCAGGTAGGGCTCTGGGCAGCATTTCGGCGCGCCCGAGGGTAAGCAGGCGGGTTGCACCGGGGGTCCCACCCAGGCCAGTGGCTCTGGACCCTCCTGGGGCTGGGCCCACCGGCTTCTCTACGCGCGGTGTCTGCGCTGACTAGGGACTCGATGTTGGGTCCCCAAGTGCACCTGGGCGAGGCCGAAGACACCGCGTACCGCCCCTGGGCTTGTGCGGAACCTCTCGACCAGTGACCCGAGGGCCCCGAGCTCGCAGCTTTGGCCACCCTCGAGTCTCCAGAGTTGCTGTCCCATCCTTTCCCCGAGTGCTGCCGGGAGGCTGCGGGAGGCTGAAGAGGACCTGTTACCGGAGTTGGGCGGGTGTGCGGAGGTGGCTCCTGGCTGCAGTCGATTGGACGTTTCGGCCGCGGTGTGAATTAAGCGAGCCGACTGGCGTTTTGGTCCAGGTTTCTCAATAATGAAGGCTTCGCAATTTTGGTTGGAGGTTTAAGGTAGCCAGAATAGTTGTAAAGAGAAATCGCTTCTGACGAAGGGATGAGGCGAGAAAACGGGCTCATTTCTTCAGAGTTGAAACACGGGATGTAGCAACGTTGGCGACTTCCCTAGTTCTTGGGTGATGCAGTTTCTCCTGGGAAGTAGTTCTCACTCACCACCTGTGTTTCATTCATTAACCACATTCCCCGCATGAAAGGCAGCTATTGGTTTTCTTAAAAGAGCTTATTCCAAAAAAGAGCTCTAGGTAATTTCCAGCATAAAATGCTACAGGTTCAGTTCAAGGCCCCTGAGGCATCAGGCAGGTTTCTTACCTCCTTCTGAGAGTCATGCAACTATACTTAGCATAGCACACAGATCTTTCTAACATCCTGCTTGGTTAATAATTCAGCAAACTTTTATAATGTATCTAAATATTTCCATTTTTAATCATATATTTTTTTTCTTTACTGCTCCATTTAAAAGTTCTTTCAGAGTGCTGAAGTTATTTCTTAAAGTAACTATTTAAAGAGACAGGGATTTTTTTTTTTTTTAAATCAGTGTTCTTGACTTGTTTTCTCCAGTCAGATTAATGAAATCAACCATTTGCACTTACCACAATTATCTATTATCAGCCATTTACACTCTTCATTTTATTTAGTTCTTGATTGAAAAAGAAAATACTGTATATTTTGCAGCTATCTTATACTAAGACTTAAAGAGGTTGAAATTTCTCACACATTATGCAAATTAGAGGCATAATTCAGATTTGAATCCGGTCTACCTGATGTAACCATTCACTCTTTTTACAATAGCCTACATATCATTTTTTTTTTTTTTCTTTTTTTGGCAGAACTGGGGATTGAACTCAGGCCCTTGCGCTTGCCAGGGAAGTGCTTATTCCACTGAGCCATCTCCCCAGCTTCCTACACATCATCTTATAAATAAAATTTATAGAATCATTCCTTTCTCTGTCAAGCAAAATGGGACAAATAGTATGTCACATTTAGAAGTTAGTGTAAAGAAAAACTTGAAGGTAAAGGAATTTAAGGAATATGTTCATCACTTAAGTTTTGTGTTTAGATGTACCCCGAAGGCCTCCTGTAGTCATCAGGGAGTGGGCTTTTCAGAGGGTGAATCTGGAGTTTGTGACTGACTCATGGTCCAGTGCTGGGACTAAAGGTGTGAGGGCTAGGGGTGGATGACGGTCGGTCTGCTTACAATATAAGGGACAGAAAGAGGCTTTTCCCTTCCCTTGCTCGCTTTTGCTGTCTTCATCCACCATGAAAGGTTGCCTCTGCCATGTGCTTTGGAGCCAGCCGATTATGGACTAAAATCTCTACAAAGTGTGGGCTAAATAAACCTTTCCCCTTTTAATTCTGCTTGTCTGGTGTTTTGTCTCAGCAACGAGAAAAGTAATTAAAACAGTCACCACAGGAAATATTTCCATGTGAAGAATGTAATTTCTTTTCTTCATTTCCTTTTGGCCATACTACCTCAAGTACCTGTACTGCACGTGAGCGTAAAGCTAGAAAGCAGGAAATATGGAGACCAGCAATCTATTAGTGACTCTTAGAGTCCGGAATGTCAGCTATCTTCAAAAGCAGCTTTTCACATACACATTTCAGTATATGTGTTGTGGAGAGTGAATAAGCACAAGTTCATGTGGGGTTTTTTTTGTCTTTAAAAAAAATGACTTGATACAAGGTCTCGCTATGCAGTTCAGACTTGTAGTGATTCTCCTGGCTCAGCCTCCCCAACACTGGGATTACAGGCATGTGCCATTATGCCTGGTTTCAGGGCCATACAGTGTATCCAGGCTTGGCACAGCATGTGGTGCTGGGGATCGAACTTGGGACCTTGTGCTTGCCAGGCAGGTGCTTAGACCGCTGAGCTATCTCCCCAACCAACACATTTGCGTTTTAGAAGGACTTATTTACTGATTATTGGCAGAACTGTTCTGCCTTACTGTACCTTGCAGGCAGATGATAATTGTTACACATTTTAAAGTGCCATATTAATGCTGCCCAGTCCAACAACATCTTATGTACAGAACTAGAAACAGCCTAATTTTAGTGTGTTTACTTAAACTAATCCAAGCAACCAATACTGAAAATGACATGGAACTTAAAGAACATCTTGTTCTCCAGAAAGGCACAATTATACATGTACAATTAATCTAAAATACTGACATGTATTGATTACATTCCACTGACTTAATTATGTACTTGCTTTTGCATATCCCATAGGAAAATCTCAAAGTTATTTTGCTGCCTGTCAAATTTCAGGGCTTATGAAGGTTCAGATTATATCTTTTTTTTTTTTTTCCCTTGGTGGTTCCAGGGATTGATCTCAGGACTTTGTGCTTGCTAGGCAAGCACTTATTCCACTGAGCTACCTCTCCAGCCCCAGATTCTGTCTTTCTTAGCAGCCAGCACAGCCAAATGGTAGGAGCTCAATAAACATTTATTGCATATATATTCATTTTAAAAGTGTTACTTGTCTACCAAGATGTTTCTTTTCACGTATTGTTTTAAGAGGATTTGGCACATAGGTAGGTGGATGCTTATCTGTTAGTACTCACATTGATCTTTCAGTGTAAAGTCCGTGCTACATACATCTATAAGAGTCGGGTGGTATCCTACCAAGAAGGCTGAATTAAGACTGGAAATGAGAGCATAGCTAGTATTTATTGAGTGCTTATCTCTAGTATGCAGTATAATATGTAGTCCTTACTGCTCTATGAGGTATTATTTTCTTCTTTTTAAAAGTTAAAAAGACTAAGGAAACTATTAAATTTTCTAATTTGGCCCAGTATACGCAGACATTAGGAACCAAGCTGTGATTTGAACTATTGCATCTGACCCTGAAGGCCTTCACTTAGTCATAGTACTATCCTGCTTGCAGTTGGGTTTCATTCCCGGTTCAACTACTCAACGTGTGTGAAAGGCAGTGTATTTCTCTTCTATGAGTTAGTGATTAGATTACATCATCCATGAGGTCCCTTCCATCTCTAAAATCCTCTGCTTTTCATTTTCTCCTAAGTATTATGTAGTAGGCCGAGTGTGCTAGAAAGCCTTCAAGTGGAACTTTCTGTGTTTGTGTCTTCTTCATTGGTCATTGCACAGTTTTATGTTTTTGTAGTGGAAAGAACAGATCAGAGTTTTACCCAATCTCATGCTTTACTTTTACCAGCATCTGACACTGACAAATCACAGAACCTTGTTGAGATTGTATTTTCATAGGTAAAATACATACACAGGACTGCTTTGAGTCTTAAGTGAGTTGATTTATGCAAAGCCCAAACATGTTGCCTAACACAGTTGCCATAAAGTCAATACACTTGCTTCCTCAGTCGTGTGAGAACAAAAGATCTGTGGATATAAAGCTACTTCATGAATTAAACAAGGGTAAAGAATCTTTTCATTTATAATCTAATAAGAGATAAAGTTATATACACAAATAATTAATTATTTAAGGGGCAATTTACAAACATCGTTGATTGCAAGACGTAAAGGGATACAGAGAAGTTTTCCCTTGGGAGGGCAGATCAGGAAGTGGAAATAAACTTCAAGGAGTGTGAAGATTGCAGCAGGGTGTAAGGGAATTAGTCACCTTGTCCCTGGATATGTCACACGGGGAAAGCTAATAATAAAGCTAAGGGAAGATAAACTGTAAGTAATACTGTGAATGTGTTGAAGATGTTAGGCTTTCCTAATAAACAGGATAGGGTGGAGGTGGAATTGGAATTTTTCTTTGTTTTGGAAAAATACCCATTTGTCGCATACATGTTAAGAGTATACAAGTAATCGGAAAAGAAAATGAAATTTAAAAATTGCCATAGTCTCACCACTCAAGAATATTCAGCATATTTCTCTGCATTCTTATGACTTGTGTGTGTCTTTTTAAGTAAAGATATTCAAATACCTTACCTGTGATCTTGTGACCTGCTTTTTGCCCATGTGTTGTGCCCTGAATCTTCCCATAGTGATCAAGTTGCTTCTACAAAATGTTTTCAGAACTTACATAGCATTTAGTTTTATAAGTGTATTATAACTTTCCAACTGACATCGTGAGGCTTAATAATGGTATAAGAAGAGCTGTTACAAAATAGTTTGACATATATCTGTGTTACAAGTTATAGGAGAAATGAGAATCTATGGATCATATACATGCACTTCTTTTCATATGCATTGACAAATTATTTATCTTGGACAAGCATAGTTAAAACTGATAGAAAATTCAGAAGATATGAAGGGGTACATAGTACCCTGTCCCCTTTTGTCTTCTTAAATGTAAGAAGTTCAAACAGCACCTTATATGAATTTGGAAATGGCTACCCCTTCTGGAAGGCATCCTTTCCTGTAGAGTGATAGGCATGCCGGGCACCTAGGTAGGAAGCCAGAGTATAATGTAGCCAGAGTGTAATTCAGCCTAACTTATCCTCCACTTTGGGTATTTG